TTGAAGATTATGTATATTTGGATTTTTTTCAATCAACATAATTATAGGTCAATTATGAATTTTTTATTTTTAATATAAATCGCGTCAAAACGTTAAAACCGTTGCCAAAATTAAGCACACAATTAAAAAAAATAACAAAAAAGTTTTTTTTTATGACTTTTAGTTTTTTGGCTTAAAATTTAGATTTTATATTGCTATGGTGGTTTAGAAAAATTAGTTTAACTTTAAAATAAACGTAAAAAATTCTATACTCAAATATAAATAGAAACACATGCTTAAATTAATAGACCTTGCATATACTTTTATTCAATACGATGTTTCGTAATATTAATGTCTGTAAACTGTATATATACACTGATGCTATTTTTAAGATTTTTTAAAAAAATAATAATTTTAGCCATTAAGAACAAAGGAAAATTTTAAAATAGCTTTAAAAAAACTAATAGATGCTTATTACATATCAGGTAAAAGATTAAATTATATTAGTATTTTATTATGGAGAAGTTAGACCGTAATCAGAAAATAAAATACATCAAAAGAAAAATCTAAATCTAATTAAAAAAAAATTAAAAACCGGACATTTTTTAAAAAATCGTACCAAAAATTTTAAAAATGGCAAGAAGCAAAGCTTTTTCTGTAAATAAAATTAATTCTGATATAGATTTAAATGTTTTAAATACAACATTACGAACAATAAACAAGAAAAAAAGATATAATTTTTAAGAAAATGAAGAAAGGGTCACAATCAATAGAATATTTTAAGTTTAAGGTGGACAGGTTTGCTCTATAGAAGGTTTATGAACAGATCAGTAGCATAGAGCTATTTTTTTCAGGTAAAAAAAAATTAATTTAGATGGACCTAATGGTTTTAAATAATATTGGCATCATTTAGATTATAAAGAACTATCTTAAAGCAAAAAAGTTTAAGGCAATGGTGGCATTATGGTTCAGGCTAGTTTTTGCTTTAATGTGCAATAAATTATTTAAAAATTATTTATAAAACGAAAAGTGCGTCATATTTTAAAATGCTTAAAACTCCTTTAAAAGCCTTTATCGAAGAAAATAAATGTAGATTTGGGTTGTAATTATAATACTTGTATTTTTTGGCACGAAAATGCTCCATATCACCTTGTTCGTTCAACAAAGGCATCGATCGTCTATATATATAAAAAGTTTGAATCTTAACATTTTTTTATTTTTTAATCCTTCTTTTTTAAAATTTGTAAAATTCAGTGTATTTCTTATCAAGAACGAGTAGTATAAGTGTAGAAATTATTTCTCTAAACACAAAACGGTGTTTTTGTCTATTTTCTCTTGCATTTATTTAGTATACTAATCTTATATAAGGTGTCTATAGCATATTTAAATTTATAATAAAAAAAGCCATTTTGTTATTAGAAATAATAAGTATACGCATAAAGGCGCATCATATCTATTAAAAAGAAAAAATACACATTATTTTTTGTGATCCTGTTTTAAACGTGATAGCACAAGCTAGTAATTATATAAAAAAATATTTAATAAATAAATTTTGCCCCTTAAATTCGGATGTAAATTCTGCTAAAAAATTTTGGGCAGAAATATAAAAAATAAAATATAGAAACGATAAGCAGTATAATAATGTCCAAGAACTATTTTCTCTAATACTTATACGATTAACTATTATCTTTAAAAGAATTTATTAAAGTATATTAATGGAATGCAAAAACGTATGATTTATTTTATAAAGAAAAAGCTAATTAGTATGATCAATAATTTTTTTTATTATTTTTTAACTAACAGAAAAAAGCAAATCTCATCTATTTATTATAAATGAGTTACTTTAGGATTAGGTATAGCTTTGTAGAAAAAATTACTAATAAGATGTTAATATAAGCCCAAAGAGTAGTGCTTCAAACGAAATAGAAACAAGAAACAGATATGGAAAGTTTTTAAAGTTAAAGAAACGGAACTAGTTTGCATTAGGGATTTCTCTACCTGGATGGGTAAAAAAAAAATTAGGCCAGATCTTGAGCAATTTATTGTCTCCTACAGAATAGAAATATATCCTGTGGACAGGAAGGACAGTATCCTCACTTGTTCTCATAGGAAGACTGTAGATCATTAAGTTATTAAGAGTGATCGAATGTTTGGGTTTTGATTATGCGAAAAGATACAACAAGGTAGTTGGATGTATTCCCTTTTTAATATGTATTAAATAGGGTTTTAAGAGGGCATGTGAACATTTAGTTACGGAGATCATTGAAGATGACAAAGCCAAAGTAAGAGTGAACACAAGAATATAAACAAATATTAAGTTAAATTATAATAAGTTTGATATTCTTGTATTTGACAAAAAGAAAAAAGAAATTTTGATAGCGAAAGTTTATATTACAAATTAGTACCGACTAAATATGATCAAAATGAAAGTGTGGTATTATACTGTATTTTGTTTAAGCTTTCATTTGTTTACTTTTTTATGTTTAGTTAATTTGTTATTTAATTTATATTTGTTTACATTTAATTTTTTAATGTAATAATTAACTGTTAAATAAAAATTTAACTATAAATAAAGTTTTGACCCCCCCTAAAAAAGGAGAAATAGATGCGGACGAATGTGACCAACATCAGAGATAACGAACAAAACAACAAGGTGTCAGCCCATAAGAGCTTATTTATAAATAATTTGTTAAAGCTATACTTTATGCGGGGTTCGCTACCTTTAAAATACGCCAGAAAAGCTAAGGAAATTTGGTTTGACTGCAAATGAACTGGGACTAACACATAAATTTCAAACAAGAATAGTTCTTTATGTAATGATATACGATGGGTTGGTTACAAAATTTCACAAAAAGTACATCGATGAGCTGAAAATCTAACCCATCCTTAAAGCATACATTCAGTCTATTGTACTGAAGAAGGCCTTATAGTCTTTTTCTTTAGAGCAAAGATAAGGATTTTACCAAGAAGATGCTTGAGAAAAAGAGGTGGCTAGAGCTGTAAGTACAATAGTTGAAAATGCAAATGCTAGAAAATAGCAGATTGTGAAAGAGAAAGCCAAAAATAACCCAATAGAACTAGTAAGCATAAGAAATATCACAATAAATATGGACTGTGAAGATTTAAAACCGCCGACTGAATCTGCAGATCTATTCACTGAAAAAACTTAAAGAAAATGAAAGAATAATTCATTTAATAAACTACTTATTTTTTTTGTTTTTTTTAAAGATTCAAATATTTTTTTTTAAAAACCTTAAAACATTCTCAATTTATTCATTTTAAAGACATCAATATGACGATGCATCGTACGTAATAAATATTATATGCCAATTTTGTAATTTTGAGTCTGAATTTTTTTGATATTTTAAAATTAATGTAATTTTTCTAAATCGTCTATAGTGAATAAAATGTAATTAAAAATTAAATTTCTTGTGTCGGGTTGTAAAGAATTGCTTAAATAAAACCTTTTATTTAGAGATTTCTGTGTTTAGGCCTATTTTGTTCTAGTTTCTTCTTTTAGTTCATGTAAAGTAGTAGCAAAAAAAAAATATTTAATTTTGCAATTAAAAATTATATATCATAAAAGGTTGTTGCCATTTTAAAAGAAGCTACAAAGATTTATAACTGTTTTAGTAGTTTATTTTATTATAACGCCAACACAATGCTTTAACTAGTTAAATAAAAAATGCTGGCAAAAAAAAAGAATATTTTTATTTAAAATTTAATATGTCTTCCTTTCACCCTTAATAATTCATTGCATCTACTGTTCATGCTCTTTACCAACATTTTACACACATCTACATCTATCTTATTCCACCCTTCTTCAACACATTTCTTTAATTTATTTAATTTTTTTGGTTTCCTTTCCTCTACTTCTAACTTAAGAATATGCCATAGACTTTCTATAGGATTCATATCTGGTGATTGTGCAGGCAATCTAAAGTTAAAATTTTTTTATCTGACAAATAATCTCTAGTGTATTTACTTGTGTGTTTGGGGTCATTATTTTGCTGAAAAATATAATTTTTTAATTTAAATTTTTTTACGGAAAGCACAAAATGTGTATCTAAAACTCTATAATATACTTCGCTGTTCATTATACCGTCAATTATACATATATTTTCAACACCTGCACTCGAAAAACATGCCCAAACCATGATATTGCCACCACCATGTTTTAATGTGGGTTTTAAATTTTTTTTATTATATCTTTGACCAACTTTTCTTCGCACATAAACTCTTCCATCAGAGTCAAATAGATTTATCTTTGCTTCATTGCTAAAAATAACCTGATTCCATCTCTTACCAGAGTAGCAAGCATGTTTACTTGCTCATTATTTTCTTACCATGATATGCTTTTTAGACAGAAATGGTTTTTTACATGCAATCTTACCATGTAATCCTATTTTACACGAATTATCTCTATACATCAAGGAGATATATTTTTTTTAGCTATTTTTTTGAGTTCTAAAGCAAGCTTAATACTTCCAATTTGTGGATCCGCATTTATTTTTTTTTTCAAATAAGATATATCATTACTATTAAGTAATAAAGGCCTACCAGAACCCGATTTTCTTTCCAATTGTCCTGTTTCATTAATTTTTTTCTTTATTTTGGAAACGTCGATCGGCTTATCAAAAAAATTTTTGCAATTTCTTTTTGTTTCCAGCCAATTTCTAAGAAAGCCTTAATCTCAATTTTTCACTTAAAGATATTTTTGTGTCATAAGGGATAAAAATAAAGTTTTTTAAAGTTGTAAATAAAATTTTCCACCCCCAAAAAAATATTTCTCTTTTTTGCCACCTAAAATAAAAATTTTCTGTTAATACCAAAAAATTTTTAAAAACATTGAAATTTCTTTCAGTGTATTTCAAATTTCCTATCAAAGTAAAAAAATCAAATGATGTAGCTAAAAAATGTATGATTATTATACTATTCAAATATTTCTTTTTTTTGCCACTACTGTAATTATCGAAATTAAATTGTTTTTTTTCTAACTCTCAACTGTTGAAATAAAACATTTACATATAATAACTCGCCAATATTATTTTTTCAAAGTGGTATAATATTAATCGATAAAAATTTTGTATTGTCTCAATAACTTTATCCATACTTTTACAACAAGACCCAACATCTTCTATAATTGGATCAGTGGAATCAATTATAGAAAGTCTGTTGGTTTTATTTGTTTTATATATATTACTAACAGTGTATATCTGTACATTCATATATTTAAAATTATATCCATAGTATTGTATAAAGTCAAAAAAAATTACAGATATGCTTTTATCATTACGTGAGTAAAAATGATGCAATTCTAGCTTGTTCATAATCATTATAAATTGATTATATGAGTTTAATCCACCAACATTAGCATCTCCCAGTTTTGACTATAAATAAAGTGTTTAAATAAAACTGCTTAAACTTTTATATTTTCATCTTCTTCTATTTTTTTCTTAATATACTGTGCTGCCAAAATTTCACCATTAGTGTTTACACTAATATCAAACTTCAATCCATACTTTTTATCTGTAAATTTAAGTATTGGAATCTTGGCATGAGATAAATGATTATTAAAAGTAAATAAACCTTGTTTTAAAGTTCATGTTTTATGTTTTTTAAGACCAAATTCTGATCAGTATTATCTATCTTCAATAATATGTTGATGTCACTAGAATGGACATAAAGATCAGTAAAAAAACTACCAAAAAGATTTATAGAAGAATTTGGATATATTTAAATACCCTTCTTGCGTATAAAATTAATCCATGTAAGTTTTAAAAGCTCGCCCTTTGGTTGACAACTCTATTTTATTGCAACAGTTAAGAAGTATCTATTTGCTGCTTTAATGTGATTCTTCATTTGGAAGTAAAAATAAAATGGTATTTTGATGCTTAATATCGGACTTACTTTTATTATTATCTTATATATAGATTATACAGTATTGATTGTTAACAATACTAAACTGGTGGTTATAAAAAGAAAAAAATGACAATATAATAAATTTTTAATGAAAATTAAACTGAAAAATAAATTTTTATATATAAAGATGTCAAATAAAAATTTATATAAACCATAAAGATATTTCTTTTTTACAACTTTCCTCAGTATTACTTCTGTGTATGACATTCCCAGTAAGATTTACTGCAAATCTGCTTTTATTAACCCCATAGTAGCCTTTAATGGATTAATAAAACCAATTATAGTTTGCATACATCAACAGATTTAACCCCTTCCAAATTTTACTGTCCAGTTTAGAAGATTTTAAAGAAAAGTTATGTTTATTTGAGAAGCACTGTGAAAGTCTGTGTGAAGGCTTCTTGTTGGTCTTATTGTCCATCATTTTTTTTATGTGTAAAAATCCTTTTTATATTTTTACTTAATTAAAGATTACATAAACAAACAATATAAAAATGCAGTATATTAAAGTTAAGTTAAAAGGAAAGCAAAAAGACCGATCTATATTGAATACTCACTTATTTGTTTAATCACACAAGAATTGATTCAACAAACAGTGACTGATGGTCATGTGTCAGCTGCATCATGACACATACAAATGACCATACCACTACACGGGTGATCTACCATTTCATTGAAAAAAGAATTGTGGCTTTAATGTTCATAATGTTTGTAAATTAAAATTTTATCAGAAATAAATATTTTAATAATAAATTTTAAATTTTTGCGTTCAACCCTTTCTATTATCTGTCCAACAAGGTGTCTTTGTAATTGTTACGGTTTAATCATAACAAAGGCTTGTTTAATGTTCATTTAAGTGACTATAAAAGTTTATCTTTAAGCCATTTAAATCTGATACATGTTTTGATTTAACAAAAAGTTATTGACAAGCGTTGTAATATAAAAAAGTCTGTATTTATAATAAAACAATAATTTGTTTTAAACGTTAAAAAACAACAACACATCAAAAAAAAATGTTAATATTTAATTAGAAGTCTTTATAGATTTTTTGTTGTATTTTATAAAAAGATTATTTTTTTAAAAATTTCATATTTAGATCATTATCAAAAATGACATTATCATAAAATTTATCATAAAAATTGGATCTTTTTTTTTAAATTTTAATCGAGCATGAGAATTATAAACTTTAGTGTTTTTTCTCTAAAAATATTATTACTAAATGTCGCAAGCCCAACTCGCGCCCGAGCCACAGGGAAGCGTTTTTTTACAAATTTTGCTGTATTTATGTTTTTAAATTTACAAATTCCCGACTTAAGATGTGGATTAAAATGTTATATACGGATTCGAATCTTGCATAATTTATAGTATAACTAGACAAAGTCTGTTGTATTACTCGACATATGTGCCAGAATAAAAAATTTTGGCACAATGCTATATTTCTGGTCATATGTTATATCCGGAAATACGGCTGTGTTAAAATTTAAAGGTCAACTCTACAAGTAAAGAAAAAAAATGATGAATTATAAAAAATTCTGATTTTGCAATGTATTTAAAACCAAAAACAAAATTATTTTTTTATATTATTCATTTTTCTTTCTGCAGCTTTATCAAAAAAATCTTATCCAAAAATTGACAATTAATTGATCATGATTATAAAACCGAGATACTATCTATAGCTAACGTAAGAAATAAAATAAGTTAAAGGCATTGTTTGTTAATTAAAAGTGGTAAACTTCTCTAATTATTTTAAAATATTATTAATTTTTATCTAAGTACAAAATTCAATTAGAGCAACTTCGCTATTTAAATATTTTTAAAGTTTAGATACACCATTATTAAATAAACCCATAAAAGTCATTTTTAGTCTTATACAAAACTTATCTATTATACCTTGTAAATAAGAATGCCCCAAATAGCATATTTTAGATTAAAAAAAATTCTGCCACGAAGCAGAACTTTTCTTCGCTGTAGTTTGTACGCCGGCGTGGCTCGCGACATTTTATTTAGCAAAAAAGTAAAACTTTTGATTTGTTTTATAAATAATGCTGTGCATTTTATGTGCAAAATTTTTTAATTTATTCATCCGTCGCCAATCTTTGTTTTAAGTTCATCTCTTTAATCTTTTAATATTAAGCAGTCCTTTCTTTTGATATAAAAAATTTATTTCTTGACTAAAATATTCTGCTTATTGTAGTATAGGCTACTACAACATTTTTATTTATTAAATGAAAGCAATCAAAATAATTAATAAATAAGAAAATGAAGGATAAAAACACTTATAAATAATCAACCCTTTACCTATTAGTACTTTTAGTGAAACATTTAAAATTCAAATAAAAAATTGGAAGAAGAAGGGCAGGTAATTTTAGGGAAACAAAAAAGTAAATATTTAATTAGAAATAAAGTTGAATACCATCTAAAGTATAACAATATGTCTGTCATACAGATCCCTTATTTTTAATATTTATTCTCGTATCTATTTCTTATATTGTAATACATTTAGTTATAAAATAAATTTAATTTTTCGTTTTATTATGATGCAACTTATGCACACATCTTAGTGCATATATTTAACCCTACTGACCATATTTATATATAATAATGCGCTAGCTTAACTTCGTTTTACATGCTTAACGGTGTATGTTTAATGCTTTATAAAGCTACAAGCCTGTAATTCTTCGAAGTAAAGTTTTTTACCTCTAACATAAGTATTTTGCCTGCTTTTTAGTGTAGTGTGAGCTTAGGAATGCCAAAGCAATAGAGTTTTATTTTTAGAAACAGTTAATTTTGAATTTATCTAAATAAACGTTAAAGTTTTAATAAGCGTATTACTGTAGATTATTATTTGCAAGAATTAAATATTTTTAAATTTTTTTAAATACAAACTAATATTTTTACCATTCAAACTTTATTTAGAAAGTGTAATGACGCAAAATATTATTCTCTGATATAAAAAATAAAAAAGACATCTTACTTAAAATTTTATTATAAGTATTCAATTAAATCAATATCAAATGCTTCATAATGTTTTTTAGGGGTTTTAACTATGCAATCTACTTGTGTAATATTAGATTTTTTTAAATATCGTAAGTCAAACATAAAAAAAATTCTTCTTTTTTTTGAATCAATCATTAGTTTAAAGTCTAACTTATTTTTCTTTTTGCTGTAAGCGAAACACTCTAAATTTTTTTCATCGACGTCTTCTTTAAAGTGAACAAAAACAACCACTAGTGGATAGCCAGAAAGTGATTTGATACATTGATCATAATCATTAAGTTCAAATTTGTGATTTGGATTCTCAGTTAAACAAAATAAGTTAGCTATATCTTTAAAAAAGCAATTGTATAAATTATAATTTTTGAAAGCATCAAAACCTATACCAGAGTGCACAAATTCATTTTTCCAAAACGTATTTAAATTATTTTTTATAAAATTTTTTAAAAACACATGTAGATCATATTGTAAAAATTCATTACTTTCTTCTAATAACAAAATAAATTCTTTTAGAAAACTAATGATCTTATCATAGTCTCTATCAAAAAATGCTAAAATGTAATCTTTGTTTTCTAATGAATGCATAATTCTTGATGCAGACTTATTTGTTAATCCGTCAAGAAGTTGACAAGACAATGAAATTGTTTTCGCCTTGTTTAACAATACAAATTCTGTAAAAATATTTTGCATTTTTAAACCTATATTACTAACATTTTCAGTAATTTTTTTGACTACAATACTATATTGAACTTCAAGAGCATTATTGAACAACATTGAATCGATGTGTATGTAAAGAATATTGTTTAGTCTTAAGGGAGTAATAAAATCAAATTCGTGAAATATCTGATCAGTGTCTGTAAAATCTTTTGAAAAGCAATATAAGTTTTTAGTGTACGTATTAGTTGTCTGATTAGAATGAATACAAACAAATCCGGGAATATCAGAGTGCGGTGATTTGACTTCCGTAATAGTTAAAATATTATCGTTAGATGAGTAATAGTTTTTTATATAAAAGTCATAGTTTGCTGGTGAAGTACTTTTTAAATCAATATCATACATTTTATGTGTTTGTGGAACTACTGAAATTATTTTTAATGAATAAATGTAAGATATCTTAAATAATACATTTAATTTGTTCATGGGCATTTTTATTTTTTAATATTTATAAAAAATTTAATTTAAAAATATAAATTGTCTTGTGACCTGTGGTGTGGTCACACATATGTTTTTAACAAAATTAATTAAAATATTAATTAATTTTTTTAAATATTTTTCATAATATCCCTTTCTTCATAGATTTAATAAACATCATAATTGAAAATCCTTTTTTCCTGCTTTTTATTTTTTGTGGCATTATGACGGTAAATTTTAATCTTTTGAAAAAATAAGTAAAAGCTTTTTTGATACATTTAGTATTTTATAGCTTTAATAATTCAGGCATGTATGTAATTGGAACTAAGATAATTCTCCACGAAGGGCGCACCTGTGGGTAACCTCTTACAACATAAGAGATGAGAATGTTTATAAGCAAGTTTTGTAACTGCTACTGCCTTTGTATCCCAAACCATTTAAATTCTTGCAGGCAAACTTATTGAGATTAAGATATTCCATTTAATATTTTCTTTAAGAAGTTTTTATAGCCAGTGTGTCGTTTTTTGTTGATTTACCGCAGCAGGCAATAATCTTTTAGAAAATTAAATGTATTACATCTATAAGAAAGTTCCTATTCATTAGTTTATGTGGTAAATAATACCACAATAATCATTCAATCTGTCTTCTTTTAACAGATATCAAAAAAATAATGTTTGATGATTTGTTATATGTTATATAAAAAATAACGTAAACACAATTGAAATTTAACTTTTAAGTTTTTATATGTCCCTATCAATTATATAACAAATTTAGCAAAATTAGTTTTATTTGGACATTATTAATTAAATAATTTTTTTTCAAAGCTTAAGATTGTCATGTATAATTCTATATCTAAAATAAAATTTTCGAAAAAATATATTTTTTTACTATAGATAAAGTAAAAAAAATTTATCTTGTAAAATACAATAATTTATAACTTTTTATTTTCAGCTTTTCTTAGAAAAGCAAAAAAATTTAGTTATTGTTGCTTGTTTTTGACACGTAAGAATATTGGACAAAATTTTTTTCCAAATGCTTTAATTTCTAGTAATGATATATAAAGTGGTTGCTTTTTTTATATTTATAATATAAAAACCTACTATAAATTTGCTCAACAAAAGCTATATAAATAATTTTAAAAAAGTAAGTCTAGTGTAAAATTACACTTTCCTTGTGCTGTGTTTATGAGGGATGGTGCAACTTTCTGGAAATGAAAGGTATATAGATACGTTTTTATAAAAAGCTTTCATAGAGAAAATATTTTATTTTAATTTTTCTTTAAATGCCTTTATAACTAATATAAAGTTTTCAATGTCACGGGGAGAACCAATACTTATATTTTGATTAAAATATCTTTTCATTGGTTACTGATGGTAAGTTATTAAGGGCATGACATCACGTTTTCTAAAATATTTTAAAGTGCGTAAATTGTGTTTTGCTTTATAAATTTTAATATTTCATATAAGACTTTTTTTAAAAAAATATTAATCTAAACTGCCAAGGAATTATAATATTTCATTTTAAAAATTTTAATAATTTTCTAACCGCTGCAGGAAGAAAGCAAAACCAATAAAAATATTATTGATACAAACAAAAAAGAATATTTGATATTAAAATTAAGTTGTGTTTTTACCGTAAAAAATAATACTTCGTCTTCAATTTATGTTTACTATTTTAAAAAAATAAAATTTGTATGAAAACAATTCTAAAGATAAACATTATTTTAAGATAAATAAAAAAATGCTATCAAAACATTTAATAAATTTATACTGAATTAAACAGAATTGTTTTAAATAAGTAATATCCGGTAAATATTAATAGCTTTGATTAAAAAACAAAAACTTTGTACTATATTTTTTTAATAAATATTTAAAATTTTACCACGCAAGTGCTTTAATTTATATTAATTAAATATTTTCTTTGTTTACGATTTTCCACAAAAAACGAGACTATCTATTAAAATTCTTAAATTTTTTCGAAAGAGTAATTAACAAAATATCTTTACTGTCATTAAACTAAAAAAAAATAAATGTTAACTTTTCAAATTAGTTGATCATGCTAATTTTTTTGTCATTTTTGCGAATTATTTTTCGTTGACTTTATCATATATAAAAATCTTCTTATTGAGTATAAACTGTATCTTTAAATATAAAACTTAAATTTAGCGAAAGATACAACTCAAATCTTAGTACATAAATATTAATTAATTATAGGATGTTTTATTTAACAGTGCCTAGTTAAAGTTTCTAGTGATTCAATATACAATAAGCTTTTTTTTCACACTTTTTTATATTTAATGTATATCTTGACGTCAATTGTTAAATTTTTTTGCTTCTCTTTAGCACCTTAATTTATTAGACTTTTAATTTTATTATCTTTTATAATATATGTACAATCATAATGTCTTTTATGATTTTTTTGTCAAGATATTTAAAATTTGAAATTTTGTTTCAGTAAGTAAATAGAATATTAACCCTAATATTTTTAAAAGGTTAATGATTTAATACAAAACAGCCCTGGATATATCCCATTTAAAACAGAAATAAAATTGAATGTATGCTAATATGTTTTTTTTACAAGTGTGTGTTACACTATATAAGTATGTCTTAGTTAATAAAAATTTACTTTTCGCATATTTCATTGTAATAAAAATAAAAAATGCCCATACTCATTATGATTAAAGTTTCTGGGTCAAAAGTCGTTTTGCCCCTCCTACCCAAAAAAAATGAGCTCATTCTTTTTTTAGCTACAAAAAAATGAATTTTTAAATGATGAGAAAAAAAGAAATAAAGGAGCAAATTTTCAAAAAGTGAAAAATAATTGAAGAAAATGTATGTTATAAGTATAAAGAACCTGTAAGCATTATAAAACGTAAGAACCAAGAATTTGTAAGATGTAAGAATAAAGCATCTCCATTTTACAGAAAGCAAATATTTGTGTGGAAAGGCACATTTTTTACAGGTTTACATAGCTCTAAATATAGATTTCTTATAAATGTTGAACTTTGGTTAGTCAAAACACCAAAGAAATGTATTTCTTATGTACTAAAAGTTAATATAAAGACTATTTATTGTGCTTTGAAGAAGATTTCTAAAATTTTAGTTAAAATTTTTATAAGAATGTTAAGTAAATTATAGGTAATAAAGATGAAATAATTGAGGTTGATGAAACTAAGATGGAAAAAAAGAACATATAATAGGTACCTTCTCATTGATGGTGTCTGGGTTTTGGCATGGTAGAAAGGAATAGTTTAAAACAAGTTCTGCTTTTCCAAGTAAACGAAAGAACAAAATTTACCTGGCAAATGAAAATTAAAAAACATGTAAAACAGGAAACAATCGTTTACAGCGATTGTTGGAAAGGTTATTATGATCTAGAAAAAAAAGGCTTTGAACATAAAACGATAAACAACAGAAAATGGTTTAAATATCCAAATACAGTAATGCATACCAACACTATTGAAGGTAGCTGGTCCGCAGTAAAAGCTTTCGTTTTATATAAATGTATGAAAAGAAAATTAATTAATCCATATTTAGTAAGATATAAGCTTGTTAAAAACTATAAACGACATTCATTAACTGATTGTATGAAACTTTTATTTAATCAAAACTTAAATAATAAAAATTTGCTCTATTATTTCTTTCTTCTCATCATTTCAAAACCTACTTTTTGGGACTAAAAATAAAAAAAGAATGACCTCATTTTTTAATGTATAAATTGCCAAAGCTTCTCTAAGTAGATAAGTCAATTTTTTTTAAAGTTAAGTCACTGGTAACAGATAATAATTACTCAATAATTAGGTTTATAGTGAAACATTCGAATTTTAAATAAAACTTTGAAGCACAAAAGTCTCAGATTGAAAATAAAAGTATTTAATCAGGTTAAATTAATAAGTAATGTTAAATAAGAAATCTAATTCTTCTTTAACCCAACCATTACCTTTAATGAATAAAGATAGTAACAAGTAAATGTTTTTTTGTAAGTTTAATGTTATTGTTGTATTACAACCACATGTTAATTTTATTTAAGTAATTTTAAATTTTAACGCACGCCTTTTGTAAAGAAAAGCACTAATAAATTATTAAATAAAAATTTTACTTGTTTTAAAATCCTGCAAGGAACAGACGGCAATGATAAAGTCTGAAGACCATTAGAGTATTACTTTATGACTAGTCGTATTTCCTTGGAGCACGCCAAACTTATAATCAAAAAATGTTATTAATAAAATACAGCTTTAACTTAAAAGCATTTTTCTTGAAAGCTCAGTCTGTATAAACTTATGTCCAGAACTAGCACCTTTTGACCCAAGTTCCTATTGCTATTAAATTATTTGTTCTTTATTTATTTGTTTATATTCCTGTCATTATTTTTTTCACTGTAAAATATTTCAGTTAGAATTTTCTCTTTATCATTATAAATTTTTAATTAGTTTAATTAATATTTTTTTTAATAATTAATTTTTTTGATCGTAATGAGGTGCAATATATTAATTTATTCTATCATATCTTAATTTAACACAGAGTAATATTTTAATTTTAAATTTAGATAAATTTTAAAAATTTTTTAGCCTTAAAATGTTATTTTGGTTACAGCAAATTTTTTGTTCAACACAAATATTAGATTTTAATTTTTTAGTAGATCTAGAAAATACAATGGATTTTTCAAGAGTTTTTGAAAGTATAGAATTATGTGAAAAAGAAGATATACAACAAAAGACTCAAGAATCGACTAAAACAGAAGATGAATATATGAATGATAATCAATTAAGTTCTAATTTATTAACAGATTGTACAGGTAAAGATTTAAATAGACGATTAAAATATGTTGATTATGATTTATTTAATTTTTCTTCCTCAACAACCGCAGCGAATGATTTGATGGCACACAGTTGCACAAGAAGTACATCTATTACTAATGTATCTAAAGAGCAATATTGTGCGTCAGAAGAATCAAGAAATGACACAAAACGTCTCAAAACTTCAACCAGTAGTAGAACTGATACATCAGAGCATTCTTATTTACATAGATTTTGGAATAATGAAACTAATTTATTATTACAAAAAAATCAAAATGATTTAATACAAGAGCAATATGGTAATTCAGAAAACAAAACTTTTTTGCAGAAAAATTATAATGATTTGATTTTATTGGACCATCAAAATAACCATTTAGTGACAAATTATGATATAAATGAACCAAGTGCTGTTCATACAGATGCTCCATTAAATGTTGGTGTTTCTTCTACGATTAATAACCCTGAAAGTAGTTATTCTTTTAATAATTCTTACCAGGATGATAAAAACGTAAAAGATAAAATGAAAAAATTAAAAACTAACAAAGTATCTAATATACAAACAAATAGTAGTGAAAAGGCTTCAAAGTCTAAAAGAAGAATAAAGACTAGTAAAACAACTCTAAAAAGTCAATTTACAGCTAGCGAGCGCGAACTTTTTGATAAATACAAGAACACTGAAGAGTACTTTAAAAAGTTTTATAAACTTGATATTAAAGATCAAATGCCGCAATTTATTAAGAAACTTGAAATATCTAATCTTTCTGATGACCTGAAACAAAAATCAATTCTTTCTCTAAGAAATCTTTTAAGTTTTTTAGATACGATAAGTGCAATTAGAATTAATACGGTGAAAAAGAAAAATAAGGAAGATTTTTTAAATTCATTAAATCTAGCATGTTATCAATTTAGCAAGTATGCAGACGTGTATCAAAAACTTTTAATTTTTAAATTGATTTGCAATAATTTACATCGTGTTAGTGATAGCGTTTTTTGTAGTTTTTCTTGTTGTAAATTTTATGAAATTAACAGGTTAATATTTTCTGTTGAAAGAAGATTTAATTTATTTTACAGTAGACTAAAAAAATTAAGGGATGATTTTAAAAAAAATGATCAACATTAAAATTTTTTAAAAGGTTATTTATTTAATTTTATAACATTGTATAGGCCTTTTTTAAAGACGGTGTAGGCGGTGTAGCTTTTTAAAATAATTTTTTAACCCTTATCCTATGTAAAAATAATGTACACATAAAAGAGCAAATAATTTGTATCTTCTACAATAAGTTAAAATATAAATACACGTTATTTCGAGGATATAAATTTCTTTATTATTATAATAAAAACATTTGTTTTTCATCGTATTTATTTTAGTAAACGTTTTACTATCTAGATATAGACAAAGTTGTGACAAGACAATTATTCAAACCAAACAAATGCGACACATGTTACATATACACCAGAAATATAAATGTATATGAATAAATAGAAATTTATTTATTAATCTTTTAAATTAATTTTCTCATAAGTTATCTATAAGCATCGGTCCATAGATTTTTTATTTAACAAACATCTTTAAAGTAGTACCCAATAAAAGATTTTGTAATAAAAAATCTATGGACCGCTAGTATTTGAATACATAGAAAAATTTATTAAATTAATTTTTTCATAAGTTTTCTATAAGCATCGGTCCATAGATTTTTTTTAAAAAATAAATTAAAAGACATATAAAATAAATTGTACAATAAAATTTTATGGACCACTGGCATTTGAATACAAAGAATTTATTTTAAAATCATAAATCTTTTAAATATACCTGAACCTAAAAATAAATTTTTTATTCAAGTTCTTCATAATCACGAAAATTAAAAGAACTTTGTCATGATGCAGCTGACACATGACCATCAGTCACTGTTTGTTGAATCAATTCTTGTGTGATTAAACAAATAAGTGGGTATTCAATGTAGATCAGTATTTTTGCTTTCCTTTTAGCTTAACTTTAATATACTGCATTCCTATATTGTTTGTTTATATAATCTTTAATTAAGTAAAAACTATAAATAGAATTTTTACTCATAAAAGAATGATGAACAATGGGATTAACAAGAAGACTTTACACAGACTTTCACGGAGCTTCTCAAATAAACATAACTTTTCTTCACAATTTTCTAAACCGGACTAACTTATTTATAAGCATATATTTTAATGCTTTTTATATACATTATAAAATAGACTAATAATTTTTTTAGATATTTATTTAGAATTCCTAGTCAAGTTTAAGAATTTTTTTAATTACTTTGTTATTAGCTTAAATACATACTTTGGCACCTATGATATTCTGTTAGCTCATATTTATAATATATTATATATTTTTTTCAATTGTAAGTAAATTTTATGCGCTAAAGGACAAATATACATATAAATTACAATGATATAAATTGGTGACCATGATTTTTCTTAGGAAATTATTGTTTCAAATGTTTGTTTTTACACTAAAAAAAATCTTGATTCATTAATTTGTCTGTTCTGTATTATATATATATAATTATTCTGTTATTGTACATAGGCCCATTAGTAACATTTTGTAATAACAATAGTAATAATTTTTACAACATGTATAATTAAGTAGTGGTTTGAAAAATATATAATCCTTTACAAACATATAACAACAAGCAGAATTTAGTACGATATTATACATACATATATATTTAAAGAAAGACATTAATATATTCAAAGATAATTTAAAAAATTGAAAAACATATTTACTAGATGTATATAACAAGGTTTACCTGTGCTAAAACTTCTTTTTTTCGATTAAAATTATTAGGACTAAATACAGAAATTTATTAAGAATTTTTTAATATTAACTGATACAAATTTTTTAATGTTTTAAATGTTATTAACACCAATAATTTAACCTCAAAAGTTTCAATAAACTTTATATCTTCATTATTATACTAAAAAGGTTGATCAGTTGTAATATCTCTCATGGGGGAGATAATATTTTGAAAATTACCGCAATAATAAAAAATTAAAAATAGAATATCGAAATAAATAGGAAAATTAACAATGAAAATTTATAATTCTCATATTGTTAAACTTTTTTTCTCTATAATTAAGTTTCCAATCGAATCATATGCAAAATTGAGGATCTTTTTCTGTTAATTACTCATTCTTCAGAAAACCAGCATTATATCTTCGAGAAAGACAATGCTATATGTATGTAATCCAAGAAATT